GCTAGCTTTTTCTGGCTCCCTTCTCATGGCATTCATTTCTGTGTCATGTACCATCATTAATCCATTCTATTTTAACAAATGTGTTCAATTTTATAACACAATCTGAAACTTTGTTTAGCCTCCACTCCCCTTAATTAACCTCTCCTTCCTTCCAGCCATTTACCACATGTGCAAATGCAGCAAATAATTTTTAATTTTTTTTGAATTTTTTTTTTTTTTGAGACGGAGTCTTGCTCTGTCGCCCAGGCTGGAGTACAATGGTATGTGCTCGGCTTACACAACCTCCACCTCCCGCGTTCAAGCAATTCTCCTGCCTCAGCCTCCCAACTAGATGGGATTATAGGTGTGCACCACCACGCCTGGCTAATTTTTTTTTTTTTGTATTTTTAAGTACATGTTGGGTTTCACCATGTTGGTCAGGCTGGTCTCGAACCCTTAATCTCGTGATCCACCCGCCTCAGCCTGCCAAAGTGCTGGGATTACAGGCGTGAGCCACCACGTCCGGCTAGTAATTTTTATATTTTTATTTTATTTTTGAGACGGAGTCTTGCTCTGTCGCCCAGGCTGGAGTGCTGTGGCGCCATCTCTGCTCAGGGCAACCTCCACCTCCCGGGTTCAAGAGATTCTCTTGCCTCAGCCTCCTAAGTAGCTGGGATTCCATCATGCCCGGCTAATTTTTGTATTTTTAGTGGGGACAGGGTTTCACCATGTTGGTCAGGCTGGTCTTGAGCTCCTGACCTCTTGATCCACCCGCCTTGGCCTCCCAAAGTGCAGGGATTACAGGTGTGAGCCACCAAGCCCAGCCCAGCCAGCAGTGTTTAATACAATTTTCTTCATTTTCACAAATAGATCATGACTTTAGCCAAGCAGCCTCTCTGAACCTGTACTTCTTATCTCCAAAATAAAAAGACTGGATTAGAAGACCTTTAAGTTTCGCTCTACTAGGAAGGAAATTATGATTCTATGATTATTTTATCACAAAAACTACAATTCTGATTTTATCAAATTATAATTTTGATGATTTATTATTGTATATAGACTAAGTAGATTCCTGGACTAAATAAAGCATCATTGGTGACGATGCTTCTAGTGGACTGTACCTAAATATCCAGTTCAATAAAGTTCCAGTTTCTCTGATAGTTTCTGCAATAGAATTATTGCCATATCTACTGTGATTCTATCTGCAAGACATCCATCTCTTTAATAATGCAAAATAAAAAATTTAAAGCAGCTTCTAATCACTGTAATCTTACTGCAGCCAGAAAAATGATAAGAAGTAACATCACACAGGTTCTTAAATCTGGATGCCAAGTTACCGTTCCTTTTACAAACTGATTAAATTCATTTCTTCTATTATTACCATATAAACCCAGCCAGAGGAAACACAAGCTCCACTTTCAAACTGTTAATTTTTATATTAACATATGGAAAAATCATCATGGCAATGAAGTCATTTACTACTTATTCCTGATAGCTAAGCATAAACAATATATGCAGAATAGCATTTCATTTCCTAAATTATGGTAAAATATATTAATTATGAAGGAAAGGCTTTCTGGTAAAGAGGATGAAATAGTAAGGGCTAATTGCAGCAGAAAGGCATTGACTGAGTTGGCTGCTGAGAAATGAAGAGGCCAGGTGCGATGGCTTGCACCTGTAATCCCAGCACTTTGGGAGGCTAAGCAGGATAGCTTCAGCGCAGCCTGGGCAACATAAGGAGACAACTGAAAAAAAACAAAAACAAAAACAAAAACAAAAACAAAAAAACAATAATAAACTGGCCATGGTGGCATTTGCTAGTGGTCCCAGCTACTTCACATGCTGCGGCAGGGGAGGATTGCTCTAGCCTACAGAGGTTGAGGCTGCAGTGAGTCTTGATCATGCCACTGCTGCACTCCAACCAGGGTGACAGATTGAGATCCTGTCCCAAAAAGCAAACGAATGAGAAATGAAGAAAATCCTGTGTCAGATGAACAAGTTCAGGCTCTACCCTAGCTAGAACATGAACAGTTTATCTTCTCAAGCCATGTCTTTGTACATCCTCAAAAGGAAGACAGTGAACTATATAGTTTCAAAGTTGCCTGATAAAATCATACAAAAAGTTTTTTGAAAATTAAGAATACTCCCCGCACCCAGAGATTCTTCTAATATAGGTCTGAGCTATGACACACAGTTCTGAATTTTTAAGTTTTAAACTAGATTATCTATTTCTTTTCATATATGATTGAGAAACATAAAGATCAACTCGAGATATATTTTTAGTTCTAGAATTCTACTGTATACAGAGTAATGCCTCTAGGAGGTGTTGAATAATAGCAAAATGACTTGGCAATAGTCTGAGAGACTATTATAAGGATCAATAGCTGCCAGGTAAGTATACACATGGCTATTTTGATTATAGCTAATCAGTGAAATAATGAAAAAAACAACCCTCCAACCATCAATTGCCTAAAAGAAGGACTTAAAGTTTGGTTTTCAACATATTTAAAATCACCAATGCTCTTGCAATAAAAAAGAAAATCTATAGGGGGAGTTTAGGAGTAGAACTGCTTTTAGACACTTTTTCAGTTTGTTTCAATATTTCAATATATTTCAAAAGGGATTTTTATATGAGGTATATATATAAAATCTGCTATGAAATACATCACTCCATTAAAAAAGAAAATATTTAGGAAAAAGATCATTTTAAAAATTAAACCCTTTGGAAATTAATCACCTGAGTCTGGTTCCATTATCAATTTTAGAGTAAAAACATAGTTTTTAACTTATTTCTTTTCACTTTAAAGACCACTGTTTTTAGCTTTAATTTTTATTTCTTAGTAATAATTGAAATATTCTGTGGTTTGAATTTTGGAAACCATATAATTATAATCCTATATTTACAGATTCACTTTAGCCCTTTACATACAAAAGTTTACTTTTTCACATTTCATTTTTCTGCTAGGTTACATTTTATAAACTGTAAACAGGAAACTACTCAATTACAAAAATCCTATATTGGTTTATTCACTATTAAACTATCTAAATAAGGCTTCTTTGACATGAAAAAATTGGCAGTCAGAAAATATACTGGAAAGGAACCATGTAACAAAAACATCCATTCTGTCAAGGCTGTACTAGGTGGGCAAGAGGGACAGATGTATGGAATAAAAAGGTTAGCCCAGCATTAAGTAAGTGGCAGCAGCACTGTTAAGAAATTTCAGCTGACGCTTTCAAAGCCTTAGCACTTTAAATGAGGATCAGTATTGGGTTAGGATCCATAAGCTCTTAGGAAGAAACACTCATATTTCTGTTTAACTATCACAAAGGAGGAAGTTTCGAATCAAAGTGTTTATGCTTTGCCACCTGACAAGCCTCTGTTAGAAATCTGAACCTCTAACTGATCGCTCCATGGACTTGCCATTATGCCCGAGTTCATATACAGCCCTCAAAGCAGCAGACCACCATCTTAATATTTTTCATGTATTCTGCATATATATAGCCAGAAGTTAAAACTCCACAACACACTTCATTCTCATAAAAGTCATAAATTTCTTTGAGTAAAAGCTACTGCTTCTTATTCTGGTTATTACAGCTAAAGACATCTTTTACTCCAACTAATTATACTAGGGTCTGAATAATACCAGAAAAAAACCCACACAGTATTTTGAAGAAGTCTGTGTTTATACACTTCATTAAGAAGCCACATCTCAATGAAATACTCTCTATGTATGAAAGGACCAGTGATAACATCATAACTTGAGTATGAGAGTTTTCCTCATTTCACATTTTTAAGTGCTACAGATTATGAAGTAGCCTCCAAAACACAACTATTCACTTTTAAAAATCCTCCTTTCAGAGCATAAAGGAAATATTTGATGGATCAAATATCACATTGCCAACAAATAGGTTTAGCGGCATGACGGAAAAGCACTAAAACAAGTTTCTACCAATTATACCTTGTCTATATAAAACAAAGTCAAAGCCTATTTACAAAGAACAAATACATACTCTTTAACAGCCAAACCATCCATGAATAATGACCAAAACAAAAAGCTGGATAAGAGCTTTGATAACCTGGGTTCAGATTATGTCAACATCTTATTCTCAATGCAAAGAATTATTTTCAAATGGAGATAATGACTGGACATATCACTTAGTCATAGGGAGTTAGTGAGACTGAGGACTCACAGGAATAAAATTTTATCAAATTTAAAAATGGTGCATTCTGAGGACTCAAATGACCAAATATTTATCAGATCCAAAGATTCTAGCTATGCAGTGGTTTCACCAGACTAAAAAATAAGATTTAAATTATTTACTTTTTCTACATAAAATTTTAGGCCCTCAGATTTCTTATTGCACAGGACATGCTGAAGTGTAATTTGGTCAGGTCACATTAGACTTGTAAAACAAATGAGAAGGCAGGGACAGAAATGATCTCGAAATTTCTCTGATACTGTGAATTATTCCCTTGGTAACTTCTAGAATGCCTTATTAAAGTGACAGTACCAGAGACGCCTAGCATATCTACAGAACCAAGTTCATAAGTCTAGCTGATAAATCTAACTTTTTATTAACTTGAGAGTTAAGATAAACATTGAAAAAAACTTCTCCTGTAGATATGCCCCATTTCAAGAAGCTATGATATACCCAAAACCTCATGCTTACAAAACAAAGCAGGGAGTGACTTAACGTAACAAAAAAATTTTACTGTATAAAATAACTCACTTGAGCATTTGTTAAAAAATAGTTTGGATTACATAATTTTGATTCATGTACTTTCCAGAAACTATTAGGTTGGTGCAAAAGTAATTGCAGTTTTTGGCCATTTTTAATGGCAAAAACACAGTTACTTTTGCGCCAACCTATTTTCTAGCTCATAATTTGGGCTCACCTGTGTCTAGATTCAACAACTATAGGGAAAGAAGTAAAATGGGTGTGTGCGAAGAAAAAGTCGAAGCAAATAAGCAAATAAGCAAATCATAATAGTACAGGCTAATAAATGAAGAAATCGAGAGACAGTTTCATTAATTAATATATTTTCTGCATTATAGTTAACATATGTACTTTCTTCGTGTCACCTTATTCTCCGTTAAGTATTGATATTTTGTTATATTCAGACATGGGTACATTTCAACAGTCTTTGCAATAAATATCATAAAATAATAGATTCGCATAATAAATATTCTTTACAATAAAAAAGTTTAACAGACTTTTGTCTTAAAAATAGTCAGAATTCAACTTTGTGATTTATACATAAAATATACAAAAAGCACCACAATTTGTGGTTAAGGCAATGAAAACACAGAAGAGATTAGAATTACTCAGCTGTTAACTAACCAGGGGGCCCAAAAGGACCATTAAGGAGCCAGGATCACTTTAGGCAGCATAGTTCTGTGACACCTATAGATTGATCAGCTATAAATATCAACTTGAGTTATCCAAATGCCCTCAATGACAACAAAAATTTGCTGAGAAGCATGGGGTGTAGAAGGAAGGCGGTTGAGTCCTTCACAAATACGAAAGCTAGAGTGAAGATGGGCAAGGTACAACCAATGTATCTCCAATGTGAAGATTGACATTGTCAAGCGAATCTAAAATTACATCGAAAGAAAAGAAAAAAATACGGTTGGCATCTCCAGAGTAAAACAATGCCAAAACTGAGGGGAAAGACCCTTGAAAGACAAGGACAGGGCAGTGGTTAAAGGAAAATTTTTATGTTATGGCAAAAAATATATCCCCCATGCTACGTAGGGGGCCAAGGCTAGAAGAGAGCCCTAACTGGAGACAGATTTAATACATAGCTTATTTAAGCAATTAAATGGTTGCTTTTTGAAAATCCGATTTCCCTGCTCCCAAGGTACCCAATCACCACAGCTCTAAGTCTCTGTGGTCTGGGTGTGGGTGTATATGTTCATGTATACAACTTTAGAAAGTTGCTTGCAGAAGAAAAAGACTACAAAGAAGCCCACTGGCTCTCAATACCCTCTCAAGTGGATGGCAGAGGCTCTGGTCCTAAGTGGGAGCCAGGTACAGCTTCCCAGTTCACTCTTAACTGAAGATCATCCATGAGGGAAGAGAAAAAAATCCATGAGTCAGACCTTGGGAACAGGGGAAGAGAATGTGGGAAACAGGGAAAAATTCTGAAGAAAAGAAAGCCAGTATCTAATAGGATTTTTTTTTTTTTAACGGCCACAACTTGAAAGCTAGAAGTTCAGGAGGTACAACCCACCTCCAAAAATCATGATGGTTTACCCTGACCCCGGGAGGGGCAGCTCTCCAGCTTACAATAGACAGTGTTGGAGTTCTTACATCGGCACCCTGGGCGATGGATCCAGTCATAACACCCCCTGCACAGCTTCAGGCATCCTTTAGCAGGAGGATAACAGAGTAAGCAAGGTAAAAATAGAGACATGGCTCCCATACACAGGTATCTAGAGCAGCAGTGTGACTGTGAACAGGAGCAAGGATTATCCGAATAGGAATCCCCTTCGTCATCATTGGAGCAGTGGTAGAAGATGCCCTTGACTAAGCACATGCAGGTTCCATATTCCACCATGCTCTCAGCAGAGCAAAGGCACTGCCGGTTACAGGCCAGACAGGATGGCAGGGTCCTGGGAGCCGTGCATTCTCCACACTTGCACTTCCCACACTGTTCACAGATGAACTTGTGCTGTGTCAGGTCCTCTTTCAAGGAACCCTTCAAGTCCTCCACAATCAGCTGCTTGGGCTGGGTCCGGATTGCCCTTTCAGACCTATGACCAGGGACTGGTCTGGTTGGTGGTGATCTTCCTAATAGTCCCTGTTCAGAAGACGCACTGCTGTTGCTCCCAGAGCTGGCTGCACTTCCAGTGCTGGTAGATCTGCTCAAAATGGGGCCCCTGGCATTATTTGGGAGTACTGCATGTCCCAGGTGGCTTGTGTGTCTGTGCTCGTAGTTATTATTCACATTAATTGGTAGGATTTCATGAGTCCTTTCATGCTTTTCTTGTCTTGGTGCTATCCGAGGAGCAGGTCTTTTCACCACTGAAGGCCCTTCTGTGTATTCATTGCTGCCTCTTATGGCCTTGATCTGGTCTAAGGACAAAATAGCAGCAGGCTGAATCTCTCTCTCATAGTCTAATCTCTGACGGCTATCCAAAGGAGGCTGCTGGATCACAACTAATGAACTGCCACTGCCATGTTGATTTTGGGGATCCATGTGTAGTGATCTCGAGTTCTGGCAATCAGTGGAAACCTGGCATGCATCTGAAATCCTAAAAGAAAATCAGAGATGAAAAAAACAGTGAAAATAAATGACAGAAAGCATTTTTGGGGGTGGGGGTGGGGGGAATCCTGTCAAGTCACAAATTGCCTAAACCGCCTATTAATGACCTCCTTCATCAGTGGATTACAATGATGCTGGGGTCCTGGCCAGAGTCCAATTCCAGGAGAGGCTGGGGACCACATCATAGAGGAAGACTTTAAGCAAGGGCCCTCATGCCATAAACATTACAAGGTTTTCCAACTTTTAAGAAGCAGAATCAAGAGGAAGTAATGCCTTCCTGTTTGTGAATCTAATAATTTAAATGGAGCATGCCTTCACAGGGAATATTGAGTATAAGCAGTAGAGTAACTCTCTTCTAAAGAAAGTTCAGTTATCACTTCATAGGTGGTTTCTATAAAGGAAAATGCCTACCTTTTAAGAAATTGAGAATGGCTTTGGTGCTACAGCCTTTTTGCTGTGTGCTGTTACAAGCATTAGATTAATGACGAAAAAAAATTAAGGCATTTTAAAAAATTAAGACTCTAAACTAAAATGAAATCTCAAAATAAGAGGTAATTTTCTATATAAATCAGAATTTTAAAGCTACCTTATATGACATGCAAAAATAAATGTATCAGGTCTGCAATGATTCTTGGTGTTTTATAGCTACAAACACACACGACTCAATGTGTAGTCCTGTGAATGTTACAACAGTACTCACATTTGAAATCCTGAGAGGATTTTTTTTTTTTTTTAAGCTTAAGGGCTCAAACACAAAACAAGATAACTTTTATGCACAAATAAGTGTGAGGCCTTTAATGCAGTGTAGGGAAATCCTGGCCGTTTTAATTATCTGTATTTCCTCTAATTTAAAAATCTATTTACATGACAGTGCTTGATTTTCAAAAGCACTGCCAACTCTGAATCAATGTGCTTCTTGTAATAAAATCAGCACACTACTATCCAGATAAAAATAAGCAGTTGTATTTCCATACTAATAGTAAATCATTTCTATTTGTAATGTGTTCTTCACAAACTACCAAAGATTAAAAAAAAGTTTCTGCTTTCAGTGGTGAACTAGAGTATTTTTCACCCAAATTCCTTCTAAAGTCTACAGAATCCATCCAATTCAAGAATGAAAAGAAAAAGAGATGTCCATTCTCAACTACCACCCTGAGACAAAAAAACAAAAAACAACAACAACAAAAAAAACATGATTTAAGGAATAACACAGAAAGAAGTCCGTTTCCTATACTTCCTAAACCAATGTCTCTAAACTATGCCTTATATGTTAACTTCTTGGAGTTCCCCTTGTTTTCACGACTCAGCTCTCCAGGTTTCTCTAGTTTATTCTACCTTCTCTGTGCATGAGCAGTAACACATTCATAACCTGCAGGGATTTCGTCTCTGGGTCCTTAACACCGAACCCTGACTCCAGCACAATTATTCCTCCTCTTCAAGAACTTCTTAACTCAGTGCTTTGAAAGCAAGAGGTATCTAAAAGTACTAAGCCAGATTCCACACGAAACGCAAAACCGTAGAGAATTTGAATAGTGAAACCCAAAACGCCAGACACAACTTTAATTTGCATTTCCAATGATAGTTGCAACGAACTTCATACTACTGGGAAATGAAGCTGCCAGACAAAAAATTAAAAGCAAAGAAAATTCGCCACCTCCGATCTGAAGAAAACCCATTTTCAAGCAGTGACAGTCTTGGACCAACCCCAAACACGCTCACACGCGCTCGGCACACTGCCTTCCCCAGGAAAACGCGAATGGAAGTAGAGTACCTTTTCGGACAATCCCATCACATCCTAAGGATCACCGTGGATTTCCAACACACTTTTTGCGTGGCCCACCAAGGTTTCCGACAAATCATTTAGAGCCTTCAGCGTCCATGAGGGCGCCCAAAGCAAGCCCACGGTCTGGATGATCCTAAGCAAGGATGTGTCTCTACTTTAAAGGAAAAGCCGGGTTCACTTAGGGCCGGAGAGAAGAACCCAGCGCACGGACGGCCACATTGCAAGCTACGACGGTGGAGCTGCGCCCTCTGCAATCCGCACTGAATAAATAGTTGACGGAGAGGAAGGAAAGGGAAAAAGTTATGAATGAAAACAAGTTCTCTCTCCCTCTCTCCGGCAGGAGGAGGGGAGGAGGCTGAGATTAGCATAAACTCAGGAGGGCGGACTTCCCCACTTTTTTTTTTTTTTTTTTAGACGTAGTCTCACTTTGTCTCACAGGCTGGAGTGCAGTGACGCGACCTCGGCTCACTGCACCCTCTGCCTCCCGACTTCAAGCGATTCTCCTGCCTCAGTCTGTGGAGTAGCTGGGAATACAGGCGCGCGCACCACGCCCGGCGAATTTTTATATTTTTAGTAGAGACGGGGTTTAGTCAAGTTGGCCAGGCTGGTCTCGAACTCCTGTCCTCAGGTGATCCGCCCGCCTCGGCCTCCCAGAGTGCTGGGATTACAGGCGTGAGACACCGCTCCCGGCCCACTTCCCCACTTTTAAAGTGGCAGTGCCCGCTCCCTTCCCTCGCCTTTGCACTGCGCTCAAAACAAGAAAGTTGCGGCTAGCTTTGGGACAGGCTAATTCTATCGAGGGGTGACCGGCGAATTCCGGGGATTCGCTTCCCTATACACACACACACACACACACACCCCGTCTTTGCCGGTCCCATGCCGGAGGCACACTCCAAAACAGAGGGCCCCCGGGGACACCCCAAGAGCCGCCTGGAATCCCTCTCGGGGGTGAAGGGCTCTCCGAGAGGACAACCCGGGCCACCGCGCCGCCGCTCGGGGTAACTGGGGTTCGGGGAGACCCTGTCTCGCTACCCTCCGCCGCCGCGGACCGTCTCCCACCCAGCCACCCAACCTTGACTGCTCCAGAAGCCTCGGCTCCCAGGGAGCAGGGGGCGGCGGGTGGGGCCGCGCCGCGCAGGGTCGTCCCTCCTCTTTCCTCCTGTCCCCTCCCCTCCCGGAGTCCGGGCCAGGGCAGCTGCGCCGCCGAGTCCGCACCTGCCGCGCCGAGCAGGCCCCGCCCGCGCGCCTCCCGCCCCGCGGGTCGAGCGCGGCCGCCGCGCACTCACCTAGGCCGAAGCGGCGGCTGGGGGCCAAGGCTTGCGAGCCGGCCCAGGTCCCGGGGCGGGCGGCGGCGTAGCCGCGCCGCATCAACCGAGGCGGGGAGGGCGAGGCGGCATCGCCGGAGCTGCGGCGCCTGGGCCCGCGGCCTCCCCCGCCCCCGCCGCCTCCCGGCAGGAGCGCTCCCCGCGGCCCCCTTCCGGCTGCGGAGGGCAGTTCTCCCGCGGCTGCGCGCGGCCCGGGCCGGACCTCTCACGGCTGGCGCTCGCCGGGCGGCGCAGTAACATCCACCTCACGAGGTCTTCCGCAGAGCCCTTCTAAGAACCAGTTTTTACAAATCCTTTCGGGAAGGCTCTCCGCGTCTCAGAAAAACCAGCAGGGGAGTGGCGGAGAGTCGAGTGCGTGACGGGCTGGCTGACGGCACGGTGTGCTCAGAGTACTTCTCCGGTTCTGGTCGCTCCTCGCAGGGAACGAAGGAAGGGATGGCGGCCTCCTGACGAACGAAAAATCCACGTCACGGGCGTTCGAGATTCCGCGGCGCCCGGGTCAGGGCTCGAACCGGCGTCGCCGGGCGGGTCACGGAGCCGCGCAAGCCCCGCGCGAGACCCTGGAGCACGCGCCTGCCAGGCAGAGGCCGCCGCGGCCGGGTAGGGGGAGGGGAATCTTTTTACCCGTGTTTTTAGGGGGGAGGGGTTAAGGGAGCGAGGTTTGGGGATCCTTCTCGGAGAGAGAGGCGGGCGTCGTCCCTTGTTCCCCGCTCAGGCCGAGGCGCTTTGCCGATCTCACACGTAGGGCAAGTGGGGGCACCGCGTCCCTGGGAACTCCGGGCCTGGCAGGTCAGCCTCTCCCGGGCAGCGCTCACACCCAGCCCTCCGAGCCTGCAGCTCCACGGCCGAAATGCCTGCGACAGAAGATTAGAGATAGAAGCTCGTGAATGTCCCTTTCTTCCAAGGGCCGGGACGCGGGGCGGGCCGCTGGCCAGCTCGCCCGCAGCCCGTTGCCATGTGCTCCCTGTTGCTGCTCCCGGTGATTGACAGGCAGGCGCACAGTCGGCGTGTCAGCCGCGAACCAAAGTAACATGCAGTCCTGCACGTTTTTGCCGAGGTGCCCTTGCCCCCTGGAATGCCTAGAAGTTCAAACAACGTGCAAGCAACGCCTCTGCGCGTTAGAAATCAATACACAGAGACGGGAAATTCAGGTTTTAAACCAATGCTTCTCTCGGGATTAGGTCACCAACAATGCCTCAACAAACACGCATTTGGTCCACACACCGAATGCCAGCCCCTCTTCGCATAAAGGCATTAACGGCCCTGTGTTCCACACATTCGATCGTTTCAGACTTTCAACTTGCTACTGGTCGGTTAAGGAAAGGAAGGTGAAAGGGATCCTTTTTCTTTTAGCGGTAGCATTTACTTTAAGAGCATTACTTTTAGCAGTGGGAATGCTACCGGTGTTCTGAAATGCAACGAGTAATCTTAGCTCGAACGCGAGTTCAAAGCAATGTTCAGTTCCTAGCAGAAGTCAACATTTCTCACCTTATCTTTCCTAAAATGTCTACGGAAGGAAACGGTACTTACCTAATGCAAAGATTGGAAATTGCTTTTCAGGCACATTTACAGCGACTGTAGTTGTTCCTTATCCAGGGCAGGGAACTCTGCCTGCTGATATCACTCTGCAAACCACTGCGTGCTTTGCAGAGCGATCTCACTCGGGCTCCGCAGAATTTCAGCTCCTTGCCTCCACCTCCACCTCCACTCCAGGACACGCCTCCGGTGATATCATGTGTCAATCTCTCGGGCTGCCCGAAAACCTGGAACAGGATTTCCTTAAATTCGTTTCCTCTTTCGTTTATGTGTACCAACTTGGAAACGTTGCCCTTCAGACTCGTGTAATAAACATCCTCTTAAAACTTCGGGAGTGCCTCTGGAAATTCTGCAAATGCAGTTCGTCATAGAGGAATACATTTAGATTTAGTCAGCAATCTTTAGTTGTCGATCTCAATTAAAAGGATTGGTGGACTCTTAAGTTGAATTAGAAAAGAATTGTAAAGAATAAAAGAAGAAAAAAGCTGTATACCAAGCCATCACTTCTGAACAACTAGAGGGAAAATGTATATTGACACAAAAAGATGATTATATAACATTACAGTTCCTATATACAACACAGTTCAGAATATGTGAAATCTAAAGTTCAAAAGGTAGCATGTCTTGCTGCAAATTTAATATGAGGATACATAATAAAAGGGAAATTTTCTGTTGTGGGTTTTTAAAAAAATAATTGCTATACCTGGCTTGTTATATGATTTCCCACAAATCAAGCACATGGGGAAGAAACCAAATTCTTTCTATTTTGTAATATAGTTGTATAATTTTGCAAAAATACCAACCTGTATATTTTTTAATTCGCTAAAAGTCAATTAGAATAGAAAAAATTTATCACGAAGCTTTATAATTTTTAGTAATATCTGATGTGACTGGGGAAAAAACACTGTAAATGGGAAACTTGCTTTCTTACAAACTATGGGATTTTAGACATTTGCTATCAAAATTGTTCCTTTCATGCTGCAGTGAGAATAACTATATGTGGAATTTAAGGTCCATAGAAACTTTTAAAAGCCACCTAAAAACCAAACTTATACTTAGTGGGAAGGAAATATTTTTCCAGGTACTGTGTATCAAGAGTAGCTTAAAGTCTGGCAAAACAAAGCAACAAAAACAAAACTCTAGAATCTAAGTCATATTTAAATATGAGTATTGAAATTTTTAGTTCAAAATACATTTTTAACCTCCTTATTTACAATAGCAAGTGCTTCTGTTGAAACGTATATACATATGTAATACACACACACACCCACATACACACTGGATTTTCAAATGTCTGAGAACTTTCAAAAATTAAAGTTGTGTTTGGAATTCCACTAAAGAATACAGAGCATTGTTAAGAACATCAATAACAATAAAAAAGCATCACCAGAAAATAGCATAGGATAAAAATCAAGCCAAAAACTTGATATTCACATAAAGTTATATATTCACTCTTTATATTAGGAATGGTAGTAAAATAGGCTATTTAAAAGCATAAAATTGTATTTTTTTTTTAACTAGATCTCATTAGATTTTGGGATGTAATGAAATTTTACCAGTGATGGATAGGTTTCTTGTGACTGGATTAGACAAATCAAAAATAGAATATCATATCAGAGTATCTTATTTGGTTCTTCAAAACTGACTTCTTAGCTACTACCACAATTGTGGGCTAAGAGGTCAGTTCACTGATATGACAAAACCAGGAGAGGGAGCACTGAACATTCTACCTTCATAAATCCTACAAAATATATTTGAAAGATTTCTATTGCAAATACACTCTATTTCAACCAGAGATGTATTACAATAAGTTTCAATGAGATTAAGTATTTTAAAACTACAGTAATAAATAAAATCCGTGTGATTTTTATCTAAAACACCATCATCTGGGTCATGTTGTATTAAGAAATTAAATATGCTGTACAGAGTTGATCAATGACCTGCCATATCATTTAGCACTAAAATGCATTAATATGTTTTTCTCTTAATATTACATTATAAATAAATGTAAGTAAGTATAGCCTTGTCACCTTAAATCTAAAAGACATTGAATGAAACCTGCCTTTCCTGATTGCTTACAACTATAAGACTGTAGAAATTCTAAATTTTTTAGCTTAAAGTATACATTGTTTTTTACTTAGTAAGTTTAATTACATTGTAACTTGACTAAAAATGGATAACATTGTTTTTTACTTAGTAAGTTTAATTACATTGTAACTTGACTGAAAATGGATAACTGGAGTATGATATTTTTCCAAAAAGGAAAAATTACGCAAATAATCAATGGGAAAAAATCTTAAAATAATTTTTAGTTCATTAAGATATGCCACTAAATAAGGAATGGAAAGTGAGCCCTGACTTGTTCTTAATTTTCAGGTAAAAACGAGATTAGCCATCTCTTGTGTTAATTTGATTTTTGAAAAAGAATAAAGTGAAATGAAAAAAATCCAGTAACTCCTCACAGCTTTTAGTGATTAAAAGAAAATTTCAGCTGTGGCTCAAGCCTGTAATCCCAGAACTTTGGGAGGCCAAGGCTAGCAGATTACTTGAGGTCAGGAGACCAGCCTGGCCAACATGGCGAAACCTGGTCTCTACTAAAAGTACAAAAAAATTAGCCACACATGGTGGTATGTGCCTGTAATCCCAGTTACTCAGGAGGCTGAGGCAAGTGAATCGCTTGAACCTGGGAGGCAGAGGTTGCAGTGAGCGGCGATCACACTACTGCACTCCAGCCTGGGCAACATAGCTGGACTCCATCTCAAAAAGAAAAAAAAAAAATTAATGCAGTTATAGGAGGCTTAACTTATTCATGTATCTACTTTATTTGCCAAAATAAAAATAGCATAATCATGTGTTCCAAGCTTTTGAAAAATAATACCTTATTAATTCTTCTGTTTCTGTGAAGTCATGATAAATAAATGTATTAAAATCTTTTATCTTGTTGAGACACAAACACACAAACTAAGTAATCACAGACATTGACGAATTAGCCTATAAGCATCTAATAAATCAATGAAGACCGATAATGGAAACTAAGTTCTCTGTACTTCCCTTTTAGGGCAATAGTCACTATAATACTATACTTCCCAAGAAAAGCTGGCAAGGACAGACCATTTCATTTTCAGTTTCCTTTTGTAAACAATCTTTTGTAGTTGACAGAAATAGACCAACCTATTCTGTAAATTTTCCATAAACATTCTCTTCATTTTCATAAGCGTAATTCTCATCCTTCTGCCCTATTTGAAATACGAATGTTCTGTATTGGTTTCAAATTCTGGAAATGGGCAAATTAAGCAATACATTGAGTAAGTTACACTGCATGATTTGTAGTTTCTGTTAGCTCTATAATTTAACAAATCATCTGTGTACTTTGTCACAGGTGATTCTATTTATCTGCAAGCTGTCAGAAAAGAAAAAAATGTACATGGAAGTGTTCTGAATTGGTGCCCTTTATTTCTTAAGTGCCCTATTCCTTTGGAGAGAATAAAAGTGACAAGAGTTCAGAAAAACTGCATCCCTACTATATATCAAAGATTTTACTAATTAAACCCACATGGTAAGATTGTATAAGGAAACATTTTTGCCCTAGTACAAAACAGTCCTAATTCTTATCTAGCTAATTGCAAAATAAATCCTGTCTTCTTTCCTCTTCCAGTGATGTCAGATGTTCCCCTCTAAGCCTTGATTTGTTCTTTATTTACTTGAGAAAACAAGATTAGCCATCTCTTCCGCTGATTTGTATTTTGAAACAGGAAGTGGAATGACCCTTATAATGAACACCTGGTATCATCTTTGATTCTGGTTGACAGAAGTTATCAATCTCTCATTCCCACAACCACTTACTGCTATCTTAATCTTCAGAGACAAGCACGTAAGAACCTAAGTTAATTTAAATCTGTAACTGTCCCCCAAAGACAGTACAGTAAGAAAATAAAAGTATGTTTTCATTAACACACACACACACGAAACAAAAAAGCATCTCTTATGACTTGCTTACTATAATCTTTATTTCCTATTGAAATAACCTACGTCAAAGGCTACAGTTCATCCTTTATTTGAGGGGAACAAAGTAGAATGTTTATTTGATAAAACAACTATAGCCATGCCCTTTAAGAACAGAGAATGACTAATATGGAAAAAAGAAGGCTGGATGCAGTAGCTGACACTTGCAATCCCAGCACTTTGGGAGGCTGTCGTGGGTGGATCACCTGAGGTCAGGAGCATGAGACCAGGCTGGCCAACATGGCGAAACACTGTCTCTACTAAAAATACAAAAATGAGCCAGGTGTGGTGGTGGGCGCCTGTAATCCCGTAATCCCAGCTACTCAGGAAGCTGAGACAGGAGAATTGTTTGAACCTGAGAGGCAGAGGTTACAGTGAGCAGAGACTGCACCACTGCACTCCAACCTGGGCGACAGAGTAAGACTCCAGCTCAAAAAAAAAAAAAAAAAAAAAAAAAGAAAGAAAGAAAACATACAAAACTTCTCAAAAGAGGTTTTTAAAAAATATGTTTATACTTAGAGTTTCCCTTGATTTGTAATTTTCGTGGCACAGTTCAAATAAGTCCATTTATATAAACATTTCAAGTGGTCTATAATAATTGATAGGATACATGTATTGAAGAACTGAGTTCTGAGTATATTATCCTTGTATATCATGGTCTATAACTTTAGCTTATATGTCATATTTAATCATAATGCCCCATGTCCAATATTAAAACTAGGAAAATAGCATGGTATTGTGAAAAGAGTACCAGATGTAGGATCAGATGATATGAAGCTCCAACTTTGCCACTTTCTAGCTAGGCAAACTTCACTTAATTTCCCTGAACCTGCTTTCTCATCAATAACCTGAAGTTAATAAAAATACTTAGTCTTCCCAAATCCTACTGCTACTGAATGACTCATTTATATGCAAGGGCTTTGTAAGCTTTAAAGTTCTGTACAATTTATTAGTTATCATTACCTTAGACACACTGTATGATGAGGAAATGTTTAAGGTCCCCTTTTTCTAGATCTTTCACAGCAAAAATGATTTTATTTGCCTTTTAACTGTTTAGAGGCAATTCCGTTTTACTTTTGTTTTTCTGAGCCTTAGAACTCTGATTTAGATAATAGTATTGCTGTATGTGTGCATGTGTGTGCTTGAGGGGGGAGGGATTTTGGAGCAGCTATCTGCTAATAATTTCAGATTACAATACCTGCTGAGCCCTGCTCACCTTATCATTTATCTGAAATTTTCAATCATTAACATTGTACTTCCAGTTAAGATAAAGATCATTATAAATATTAAAAATTCCTTCTATAAAATTTGTAAACTCGTTGTGATCATTGAGTAAAAAAGGAAATGCATATTTTAAAAAGCGATTGGATAATAATATGTATAAACATTGAAAATAAATAGAAAAGTAAAAAACAGATAATCCTTCTATATGTTTTCCAAAGGTATATTTACTGCTGACTCTTTTGGTAATCTTTTAGAATCTTAATTTGATGCTTCATAAATATGACAAGTTTAGTAGCAATACAGTGTCCATGAATTCCCAATGTATTATATGAATCAATGCTCTTGTATTAACTTTAAAAATTGATAGCACAGATACATTTCATATAGCCAGTGCATTTAACTTAACAACAAAAAAACCTGTAAAGCGCCACCTGTTGTTAAAAACAAATCATTTCAAATTTCAATCAAAACAAAATGTACTTGAGTCTAGGAACTGGGTATTCACATTGATCACCGCTTTACATTCTTTTTTCTTTTCTATTTTTTTTTTTTTTTGCAATACTGCCATATGATTTAGAATGTTAGCTTTTAATAAAATTGCAAAAAAAATTCATTATACACATTGGCTACTTTTTGAGGAATCTAAAGACATATAAAAAGGCCGTATCTGTCTATAGGAAGTTACAATATTGATAGAGAAGATAAAGTAGTGGGGACATTGAGTTTTAACTAATGTATAAGAATTAATATATCAATAAAGTTGTTTGGTCACTTGACGTAGTTACTTAGAAAAGGTACTTATTCCAATAATGCTACAATTACACAAATCTTTCTTTATATTCCTATTGTATAAATGTATGTATAGTGTATAATTGTAAATATATATTTACAATACGAGTCCTTGTAAACATTCCTTGTATTGTTAATATCATCTGGGCTTACATCACATTATTTGAAATATCTCAATATTGTGTATCAATATCGTATATGGGATATTGTATATGCAGTAAATAATCTCAATACTGGAAAATGTCTCCCTTTTCAAGATGGATTTGGACTTTGCTAACACATAAATCAATAGGAGCCATGTGTATGGAGTAAGATGAGTGCTCAGGCTGAGTTAAAGTCTGGGAAGAAAAACTAAGTATCAATTTACATTTTTACGTATATTAAGTAAGACAACCAGCCTCCTAGTGGAAGACACAAAAGAAAGAGGACAATGAGTGATACGAAAAGTTTAACAGCTGAGAATAACAAGAATGTTTTCTACTTTGGCTTGTTTCTTTTGCTGGCCATGTTACTTTCACAAATCTCTTTCCCTCCTGAATCCCAAATGGGCACCTGTGGAATACACTTCAAAATCAAACCTAATTCAATTTTGTTATTCATATTTTCAATAATTTATCCATTTATTTAATAAATATTTACTAGGCACCTACATCACGCCAGGGAGGATGAACAAGACATTACGAACAAGACAGACAAAGCCCCTGTCCTCATTCCTTACTAGAATTCTCATGTAGGAGGAAGAAACAGGCGATAAACAAACAAATATTTTGTGACAGTAATGGTAAGTACTGCCATGAGAAAATGGAGTTTGGCTGGGTGATAGGGGTTGAGAGGTGATGACTGTTTTAGCGAGGGTGGCCAAGAAGGGTCTCTCTGAGGAAGGAAAATTTGGGCAAAGCCATGATGAGTTAGGGAGTGAGCCACAACTGGGGAAGCAGTAATCCAGCAGGAGAAACGGCCAGTGCAAAAGCTTTGGGAAAATCCCATGGAGCTAGGGAGAGGAAACAAGGTAAAGAGGAGGTCAGAAAGGAAGGCTACAGCTATGTCCTTTAGAGCCTTGTAGCTCATTATAAAGACTCCAGGTAAAGTCATAAGAGGTTTTGCAGCTAATGGTTATCTGTTCAAAATGTTTAAAGATCTGCTGTGGGCTGGCTGTGGTGACTCACACCTGTAATCCCAGCACTTTGGGAGGCTGAGGCTTGCAGATCACCTGTCAGGAGTTCGAGACCAGCCTGATCAACATGGTGAAACCCCATCTCAGTGTAAATACAAAAATTAACAGAGTGTGGTGGTGGGTGCCTGTAATGCCAACCACTTGGGAGGCTGAGGCAGGAGAATTGCTTGAACCCGGGAGGTGGAGGTTGCAGTGAGCCGAGATCACATCACTGCACTCTAGCCTGGGTGACCGAGTGAGACTCTATCTCAAAAAAAAAAAAAAAAAAAGATCTGCTATGAAAGATGTGCTATGTTAAATGTTAAAAGGGTTCTATAGGGAGAATTAAAAGCAAAGGGAAATATTTATGTTAACACATAGCAGATATTATATATTGCTATAAAATATAAAGTATTAATCATTATAGGAAGAAGAACTTGAACCTTATCCTCAAATAAATAGGATTCATAGAAGAGGAAAAGAAAAAGACAGCTTACCCTTAGTGCATGACACAAGGAAACACCGGAAGGTGCAAATAGGTGATAGGGACATCATGACTGTGGTCAGTTTGCAAAACTGGCATGAGTGGAAGGGAAGATTTCTTGTCAAAACTGGATAAGTAAGCTAAGGACAAATTACAGAGGGACCTTAATGCCAATATGAGGATTTGGGCTTGATCCCAAGGACAATAAAATTTTAGTGCAATGAGTTAACCTTATGAAAGAGTCTCTTCTCAGAAGATTCATCCGACCATGCAGATTGCAGCAAAGAGAGGCTGGTGTTAGGGAGCTGGCTTAGAGATGAGGATAGTAATCCAAGTGGGTGACAGGGAGAACTTGGACAGGGTGATGTTGGCAGTAGAAAAGGAGGGAAAGGGCCAGATCTAAGGTAAGTCTGAATATTCACTCCATGCCCCTCCATCAAATGATGAAATGACAACAGATTGAAGTCTTGCCTGTAAGGTTTTAACAGATCCTTAAAAAATGGTAAAATACACCTAAAGAGGCTTACTTCAGGAAAAAACCGGTCACATAAGGAAGTTAAACATATAAAGCAGGGGTCCCCAACCCCTGGGTCACTGATCTATACTGGTGGAACTGGTCTGCACAGCAGGAGGTGAGCGATGAGCAAACATGAAGCTTCATCTGTATTTATAGCCACTCCCCATCACTCACATTACCAGCTGAGTTCCACCTCCTGTCAGATCAGCTGTGGCATTAGATTCTCATAGCAGTGCAAACCCTATTGTGAACTGCACATAAGAGGGATCAAGGCTTCCTGCTCCTTATGAGAATCTAATGCCTGATGATCTGTCGCTGTCTCCCATCACCCCCAGATGGAATCATCTAGTTGCAGGAAAACAAGCTCAGGGCTCCCACTGATTTTACATTATGGTTAGTTGTGTCATTATATGTTACAATGTAATAATAATCGCAATACAGTGCACAATAAAAGTAATGCGCTTGAATCATTCCCAAACCATCCCCCTTGACCCCAGTCTGTGGAAAAATTATCTTCCACAAAATCAGTCTCTGATGCCAAAAAGTTTGAGGATCAGAATTTTCTCAATGATATGCATCTTTAGAGTAAAAGAAGGAATTCATCAGAAAAGTTAGAGGTATTGCTAGTCTCTTTCATTCACATCTGTTCCATTTTGAAGGAAGAGGAGAAAAAAATGCATTTTCAGGGAGAAAAGTGTTCATAAGAGATCACTATATATATATATATTTTTTTTTTCTTTTTTTTTGAGAAGGAGTCTCGCTCTATTGCCCAGGCTGGAGTACAGTGGCACAATCTCGGCTCCCCGGAATCTCCACCACCCAGGTTCATGCTATTCTCCTGCCTCAGCCTCCTGAGTACCTGGGATTATAGGCGTCCACCAGCATGTCTGGCTAATTTTTGTATTTTTAGTAGAGACGGGGTTTCACCATGTTGGCCAGGCTGGTCTAGAACTCCTGACCTTGTGATCTGCCTGCCTCAGACTCCCAAAGTGCTGAGATTACAGGTGCAAGCCACCATGCCCTGCCCTAAGAGATCACTAATATTTTATAGTTATGTCTGGCCAACTCAAGGAATAATGGAATGTTGATTATATTTTGCTGCTATAGCACAGAGATATCAAGCAGTATTTACGTTCTATTAAAGCCTTAATCAATTAGATCATCGAAATGATTGCTGAAAAATTCACCAAGCCAAGAGAATGTATAGATAGTAGAAAACCTTAATCCATGAAAAATATCGAATACTACATTTATTGAAAATTGAGATCAAATATTTTTAATAGCAAGTAAGGTAAGGATGCTATTGTAATTTGAAAAAAACATTTAAAATTTACAATTCATCGTCTACCTCTATGGGGTAAGTCAGTCATGGAATTCGCTTGCTTGCAAGATCATTTGGTTCATACATCCATCAGTCTAACAGCTGGTTCAGTCTGAAAATTATGGAGAGAATAAGGTAGTTATTTTATGAAATAGAATCTTCAAAGTCATGAAGAGAAGGGCAACAAGAGACCATGGGTCCGTAAAAGTGATGACTAAACAAAAATCCTTAGGTAAAACAATAACCAAAATATCACATTTCCTTCTTTCTTTTCTTTTTCTTTTTTTTTTTTTTTTGAGATGGAATCTTGCTCTGTCACCCAGGCTGGAGTGCAATGGCTCGATCTCGGCTCACTGCAACCTCCGCCTCCCGGGTTCAAGCAATTCTCCTGCCTCAACCTCCTGAGTAGCTGGAATTACAGGAGCACACCACCACACCTGCCTAATTTTGGTATTTTTAGTAGAGACGGGGTTTCACCATGTTGGTCAGGCTGTTCTCAAACTTCTCTGTAATCTCAGGTGTGAGCCACCATGCCCAGCAAAATATCACATTTCATCAGATCTAAGATGTCAGTTGTATGATGCATTTTATGGACTGCTATGAAATTTTTTTTAAATGCTGCTAATTAATCCATAACACAATGCTTCCTTATCACTTATAGTTTTATATTAAATCTTATTAAAATGGCTTTTTAATGCTGATTTATGCACAGATTTTGTTACATATCATTCTTGTGCACACCTGAAAAGAAAAATGTAAGCAAAATAAATTTATAAGGGTCCCTGAAACTACTTCACATTCAAAGTCTGATTCTTCTGAATTACTTTCTAACTCAGACATCAATGCTTGTGTTTTTCTATACAAGATAATCCTACGGCCATCAAAAGCTCTGGGCAGCATTTCTTAAAAGATGTAGCAGTTCTTAAGAGTGCTGCATCATTGTTCTCTGGATTTTTTCCAAAACCTATTCTGTGTTTTGATACTGGAATGTTCTTGATCTTATCAAAAAGTGTCAATGAAAGGTTTTCAGACAGGAGCCAGGACTCATAGTCCTGCCTCAAATGGTCCTTAAATAGTTTTCTGAGTCAAACATGGAGAGGCTGCAGTTGCTCCGTCATGCAGCCAGGAATAACAACCACATTCGCACATGGGCAGGCAGTAACAACTACCTCACAACTTGACTCCTGTCTGCCAGACAGCAATTGTAAAACGCAACCCGACTTCAGAGGTATTAAAATGTGAACGGAAATGTGCATTTGGGAACTGATGGAATACAGTAGCCAACATGCTCTTCTTCAATAATCTTAACGCTTTTCCTATCTCACCTTTGGACAGATGACACACAAAGTGGTTTAGTAGTTTGCCCAAGATTACAGAGCCGGCATGTGGGAAAACATGGACCTGAAACCAGGTATATAGAGTAGAGGGTAAGGAAGTTATTTGGTAGAAAAAAGAGAAGTTGACAGAAAAGGATAGCTGAACTACTCTGACATTAACAGGACATTCCACTGCAGATCCCCCCCAGCCTACGGCTGAGGTCTCTAAAGCTCTTTGATGCTTCAGGTGGTGCAGTCATATGGTTTCTTTTGGTTGATTCTCATGAAATTCCTATCTCTCTTTTATCCTCTTTGATGGCCTGATTCAGTTTCTGCTTTTTAATAAGCAATAAGCCTGATAAATATAAGCATCAAAGTCTGTCTGGGAGAATTGGGAATATTGCACAGAGAAGGGCACACTGAGCTTAGGTTTGGTGGATGGCAGACAACCTTGGTGGTGGGTGGGGCTAGAGGGAGGACATTCTAAAAGCTAATTGAGTGTGCAAATGGATAGAGGCAGAAGAGTCATGGCACACGACACGATTTGGCTGTGTCTCCACCCAAATCTCATCTTGAATTGTAATCCCCAAGTGTTGTGGGAGAGACCTGGGGGGAGGTAACTGAATCATGAGAGAGTGGATACCCCCATGCTGTTCTTGTGATAGTCAGTGAGTTTTCATGAGATCTGATGTTTGTTTTTTTGTTTTGTTTTGTTTTGTTTTGTTTTGTTTTGTTTTGTTTTGTTTTGAGACAGAGTCTTGCTTTTTCACCCAGGCTGGAGTGTAGTGGCGTGATCTCGGCTCACTGCAACTGTTGCCTCCCAGGTCTGAGCAATTCTCCTGCCTCAGCCTCCTGAGTAGCTGGGATGACAGGTGCCCCCTGACATGCCTCGCTAATTTTTGTATTTTTAGTAGAGACAAGGTTTCACCATGTTGGCCAGGCTGGTCTAGAACTCCTGACCTTGTGATCCACCTGCCTCAGCATCCCAAAGTACTGGAATTACAGGCATGTGCCACTGGGCCCGGCCTGATCTGATGGTTTTATAAGGGGCTTTTCCTGCTTTGCTTGGCTCTTCTCCTTCCAGCCACCATGTGAAAAAGGACATGTTTGCTTCCCCTTCTGCCATGTTTTTAAGTTTCCTCAGTCTTCCTCCTTAGCTGTGCTGAACTGTGAGTCAATTTAACTGCTTTCCTTTATAAATTACCCAGTCTTGGGTCTGTCTTTATTAGTAGCATGAGAACGGACAAATACAGAATATATGGAATTCAGAGAGTAAGAAGGTAAAAGGGAAAAACGGAAGGCTAGATAGGGAAGCAGGGATCAGATCATGTGCCATGTAAAGAAGGTGTTTAGTATTCTGTAGATTGGTTTTCAAGCTTGCTTTAGCAGTGACCTATTTCCCCCTACCCTCAAAAAGTGCTATTTGAAAACCTAGACCAGGTGTCCCCAAACTACGGCCCACGGGCTGCATGCGGCCCCCTGAGGCCATTTATCCGGCCCCCCCGCCGCACTTCAGGAAGGGGCACCTCTTTCATTGGTGGTCAGTGAGAGGAGCACAGTATGTGGCGGCCCTCCAACGGTCTGAGGGACAGTGAACTGGCCCCGTGTGTAAAAAGTTTGGGGACGCCTGACCTAGACTATAAAAGAGATAAGATGGAACTGCACTGAAGGAAGCAAGGATAGGTCACTGGGGGAACTGCACACAACACAGCTTTAAATCCATTTCTAGAGGTAAAATGCACTCCTGGTTGGGTGCAGTGGCTCACGCCTGTAATCCCGCCAACTTTGGGAGGCCGGGGAGGGCGGATCACTTGATGTCAGGAGTTCGAGACCAACCTGGCCAACATGGTGAAACCCCATCTCTATTAATAGTACAAAAATTAGCTGAGCATGGTGGTACATGCCTGTAATCCCAGCTGCTCGGGAGGCTGAGGCAGGAGAATTGGTTGAATCCAGGAAGCAGAGGTTACAGTGAGCTGAGATTGCACCATTGCACTTCAGCCTGGGAGACAAGAGCGGGACTCCATCTCAAAATAAATAAATAAAAATAAATAAAAATGCATGCCCTAGGAGGAACAGAAGAAAGCTCACCTTGGCAGTAGGAAAGAGGATGAAGGGGCAAAGGTGGTCATTGCTCTCTGTTGCTTGGAAGCCACTGCGGTTATCTGGGTGAGAAAACTGAGAAATAAGAAATGCCGTATCTTAGTCATGGTTAGATTGCAAGGTAAGTTTAGGTGAAGAGGGATTTTTTTTTTTTTTTTTTGAGATGGATTCTCACTCTGTTGCCCAGGCTGGAATGCAATGGCACGATCACAGCTCACTGCAACCTCCACCTCCCAGCTTCAAGCCATTCTGCTGCCCCCACCTGCTGAGTAGCTGGGGCTACAGGCATGTGCCACCATGCCCAGCTAATTTTGTATTTTTAGTAGAGACGGAGTTTAGCCATGTTGCCCAGGCTGGTCTCAAACTCCTAGCCTCAAGTGATCCACCTGCCTCAGCCTCCCAAAGTACTTGGATTACAGGCATGAGTCACCATGCCCGTCCTGGGATTCTTATAAATACATAGCAGACAATCACACAAATATCTAAGGCTGGAAAACGAACTACAACTAGTTGCACATGAAGTGGAACTTGGAAGACGCAAAGTGGTGGTAGATGTCTTTTTTTTCTGTGTATGTTTTCTGATGTGTTTATAGAATGAGAAGACAATGGATATTTAAAACATTATTGAAATATATGCTCAATATTCCACTGTAAGAATATATCATGTTCACTTAAATATTCTAGTCCCAAATTTTAAGAAGAAAGAGCACAGATTTTTATGGTACTGGGTCTCACCTCTGATAATGGGACTGATTTTCACTGTCATGCCAGCGTTCCCCCACTCCAAGTCCTGCTTGCTAAGCCACACGGAGCAGAAACAAGAATATCTTTGGGAATGGCAGATCTCTCACATCAAAGACCACACACCTGGGGCTTTGGTTCTTCTGATTCTTCGTGTACACCCGTTTCTTCTGCCTTGTGCATCACAGGGGATCTTCAGAGAATTTCACATGCAATCTTCTTGTGAGGCAGATCCCAAGTACAACCCACATTTCTGAAGATATTCCTAGTCAGGGCTCATAACACACGTGCATATTAGTGGTTGAAATATTGTACTTAAGGCCTCAGATTTATCTTTGAATTTGACACTATTTTTGTGGGACCTAATGCAGAAAACAATCAGAAAGTTTCAATCAGGACACATGAAGATAAAAATAAAGGAGATATTCCCCTTATTAAATCTCTTCACCTGGCTGGACGCTGTGGCTCACACCTGTAACCCCAGCACTTTGGGAGGCAGATGCGGGCAGATCACTTGAGCCCGAGTTCAAGACCAGCCTGGGCAGCAGAGCAAGACTCTGTCTCTACAAAAATTAGCTGCAGATGTGCGCCTCTAGTCAGAGCTATTCAGGAGACTGAGGTGGGAGCATCGCTGGAGCCTGGAAAGGTCAAGGTTGCAGTAAGCCATGATTCCACCACAGCACTCTAGCCTGGGCAACAGAGTGAAACCTTGTCTCCCACCCCATACACACAAAGGTCAAGTGTAAATATAGGTCAGTGTTGATAACCAGGCACAGAAAATTAAGAAGTGCTTTAAAACTTTTCTGTGTGGCAATCAAATGCATAAGAAACCTTTTTTTCTGACTAAAAGGTACACCGTATAATGCTCCTTCTCTTGTGCCATACTACTTACTAGTGGTGTCTTTATGAAGATGTGACCAAAGAAATGAAATATTCAGCATCCCCTGTAATATAGAACTGTCCTCCCTCCATCTTCAATTTCCCGTATTGTCACCAGGAGCAAAATCTTTAAGCATTTAGAGCCATTGCACTGGCCTTGAAATGTCTTATATCATATGATTTGTAAAGCAAGAAACATTTTCTGCCTCCAAGGGATTTATGCTGATTAATAAAAAAAAATTTCCAAGTGAAACGTTTATTAAAAATAAAGGAAAAGCAAATGTCAGGGAATGTTTTAAATGGGCATGTGGCTTTACTTTTTAATATGCATTTGCATCTTAGTCAAGCCTTACATTTAATTTTATACAGAAAACTTCATTAATACAGTGTAGATTTGCCTCCTTGCTACCTTAATTTTCTTTGCCTGTGGATATAAGTGAGCATGTGTCTGTGCCTGGGTGCACTTGGGGATTTGAGGTTTGCAGGTGAAGGCATTTTGGTCACAATCACTTAACCAGTCTCTAAGAGATTCCAAATGTTCCCTCAGCTTCCTGTCTTCTTCTGAGCCTACTAACGTCTTCCAACCTCTGCTTGTTACACAGTTCCAAAGCTGCTTTCACATTTTCAGGCATGTTTGTGGCAATGCCCCACTTCTCACAGTACCAATTTTCTGTGTTAGGCTGTTCTTGCATTGCTATAAAGATATACCTGAGACTGGCAATTTACTAATATAAAGAAAAGTTCAGTTGGCTTATCGTTCTGCAGGCTTTATAGGCAGCAAGGTGCTGGCATCTGTTCAGCTTCTAGGGAGGCCTCAGGAAGCTTACAGTCATGACAGAAGGTGAAGGGAGAGCAGGCACATCATATGGCAAAAGTAGGAGCAAGAGAGAGAGAGAGAGAGAGTGGGAGGAGGAAAATGTAAATGCCACACACTTTGAAAACAACCAGATCTCATGTAAACTCAGAGCAAGAGCTCACTTATCACCAAACATGCATGAGGGATCTGCCCCCATGATCCAATCACCTCCCACCAGACCCCAATGCCAGCACTAGGGATTATATTTCAACATGAGATTTGGTGGGGATACATATCCAAACTATATCAAGGAACATGATTAATGATTGTGAGGAGGCAATAGGTGTTGACTAGGACCATCCCAGGCAAACTGGGATCTATGGTCATCCTGTTCTGTCACACCACACTATCTCCCTAAGTGACCTCAACACTCCTGTGCCTTCTTTATCATAATGATGACCAAATACCTCCAGCCTCGATTTTACTTTTGAGCATCAGACCCTTATAAATAAGTGCTTATTCTGCTTAGATGTTATACAGTCACCTGTAACTTAGTAACTCCAAAAGAGAACACATGATATCCTCTCTTCACACACACCCTAAAATCTCCTCTTCTAGTATTTTCTGTCTGCCCACTTGCTCAAATCCAAAGGCTTCTCGTTACTCCTCAAAGGCCATCAGTTACCGAGATGACAGTTTGACTTTCTGTATCCCTCACAAGCTCTTCAGTAACACCATTGCCACAAGTCATATCAATGCTTAGCCAAACTAGTTTATACACTGCTGTTAGGTATGATCTTCCTGAAACACAAATCTGATCACTATTTTTTCTTTTTTCTTTTCTTTCTTTTTTTTTTTTTTTTTTTTGAGACGGAGTTTCGCTCTTGTTACCCAGGCTGGAGTGCAATGGCGCGATCTCGGCTCACCGCAACCTCCACCTCCACCTCCTGGATTCAAGCAATTCTCCTGCCTCAGCCTCCTGAGTAGCTGGGATTACAGGCACGCGCCACCATGCCCAGCTAATTTTTTGTATTTTTAGTAGAGATAGGGTTTCTCCATGTTGACCAGGATGGCCTTGATATCTCGACCTCGTGCTCCACCCGCCTCGGCCTCCCAAAAGTGCTGGGATTACAGGCTTGAGCCACCGCGCCCGGCCACTATATTTTCTTTAACGTAAAAACTCTTCAGTTGCTTCTCATTGTCTGCGGGATCCAATTCCAACAGATCACTGTGATCCGGCCCCTGCCTCTCTCTCCAGACACGTCTCTGTTCTTAATGATGCAGCCGCACTGGAGTTTTCCAGCTCGTGAACTGGAGTTTTCCACGTTCCAGAACGTGCCAAGGTTTTTCTACCCTCAGAAGCTTTGCGTGATAGGCCGCCCTCAATATGATTCTTAGATACTTTGTACTTCTTTGTAAAATCTTGCACAGTTGCAGTTAATTATTTATTTAGAATTATTTGTTTGAAATCTATCTTTCCTTCTAGACTATAAGGCTCCAGGATGCATCTGCTGTGTTCACCATTATACCCTAGTCCTCAGCACAGTGCCTGAGGCTCAATCCATGTATGTTGTGTAATTAAACAAAGGATCTCTCTAATTCCTGGACTGAGAGGGGAAATTCAAATCACTTCTGTTTTCTATAACGATCAAGTCAACAGACTAGTAACATGAATTTTTAGTACACTTACATGCAAATAGATTTTTATGTCTTTTTTGCGTGGGCTCATTGTTCCATAAGCAAAATAAGGGGAGGAATATCTAATAATTTCCCATCACACGTTATTTTCTCATTTGTATAAAGTTAAAAACATAAAGATAGAAAGTGAGACAAACCACAGTCTAATTTCCAGACCCGGGATTTTCACAAGCTAGAAGAATAAGATGTAACATGGTGATTTAGTAAGTCAGCTGTTTCCTTCCAGATTGGAGACAAATCACAAGAGCAAATGCTTAAGAAAATTTTCCAATCAAACATTGCTAATCCCGTTGATTTCTAACATTCAAGAAACCCAGAAAAAAATCTAACAGTGGAGTTCTTTGTGTTTCTTCTTTAATGAGTATTTGGCAAAAAACAATGAGGTGGGGGAAAACATTTTGAAGGCACAGAATCCAGTGTCCCTTGCTTACAAAGCAACAGTCGGAACCTGAAGTGATTGAGCATCTGTTTTCAATCTTGGCTCAAAATGTCTTTTAATCCAGGATGAAATTAAATCTCTAGTAGGTACAGAGATACCTATTTCACATATATAATTCCCTAGATGTTTAATTATAAAGTAGTTGCAATCATTTGCACAAATCAGTTCATATTATGTTATTTTGACATCAGTTTGCCTGTTTGGGAAGGAGATAGATGTATGGGACTCAGGTGGTGCTGGGCTGTGGGAGGGCTTGTCTAATACCCAGGAGTTTGTCCCATTTCCTTCTTTGTCATCTCCCAACAAGGCTGGCTGGCTATCTTGCTTCTTCTTCTGGTACTAAGACAGGAAGTGGCAATTTTGTCAAATGTATGCATATTGTATTTGTAAGTCACCCGAGCTAGGTTTGAGTTGTAAGGGAATTTTCTTAAATTCTTTGTTAAAATATGAGAATTATTTTCCTTAAGCTATTAGTTATGCAGAAACAATTCCTTTAAAAATGAAAATTCCTTAACCCTGAGTAAGACAGGAAGAAATAGCAGATTATTTTCTCCATGTTACAATATCTATTTCATATAATTTCCTCCTGCGAACTATCGTCAAGTATCTTGGGTTATTTTCAGAAAAAAAAAAATTGTTCTTTCTCATTTCATTTTCTCTAAATCCAAAGTGACATAAAGATATATATCCTCTAGTACCACCCACAGATTCCATAGTTATATCTTGGTATTTTACGTTGCGGAGGGCCAAGGCCCCTGGCCCCCTAACAGTTCACCAAAAATCACTGCCATGAGGTCAGTTGACTGAAAAGAGAAAAGGTGAACAAATGTAGTAACATGCATGAGAGGCTTCAGAATGAAGACCAAACTGTTTACTGAAGTACAGAAGCTTGTATACCCTCCTGAGGTTACAGAAAGAATGATGGCTCAGAGCATCACCAAAAACAGGTGTTAATGGCAAGACAGGTTATGGAAGGAGGAAAGGAAAAGCCTTGGCTAGTGAAGATGGCCTTGTTATGTAGATGAAGCCTCATAGGTAGCAGCCTTCAGAGAACACAGATGGTAAATGGTTTCTTTCAGAGTTTTAAAGGTGTCAGACTCTTAGTTAATCCCCCCTGTATCCAGGAAAGGCCTAGAAAGAAAAATCTGGCTGCATTAACGAAGATTCTCTACTAATGCAAATCTCCCCCCTGCAAAAGAAAGCTTTGCAAGACCACTTCAGTCTGCTGGCCATGTGGCAGCCATTTCAAAAGATGTCAAAGAAATCTATTTTAGGGTAAAATATTTTGATTTCCTTCAACACAAAGGTATAGAATCAAACAATGTAACTGTGATAGTAGTAAAACAAATAATAAAACTAAGAAACGGATATAATCTTGCTTGTGTTTGAAGTAGTAGCAAGAAAAAATTGAAATAGCAGCAAAAAATTATTTTGCAAAGACAATATCATCTGCAAGTCTCATTATACATTCTGTACACAATTATTTTATCTTGGTAAGCGATCTAAAGTATCAAATAAGCAGAATTTTTATGAATACACGTTTCTAATTTCTGGTGAAGTCTTGAAACTCCAGAGGAAATAAAACAGGAAATTTGTGAGAGGGCAATTCATGAGCCTTGGCAACAGACTGAATTTGTGATTCGAGAAAGAGAAAGGCAGCAAGAAAGTTTTGAGCTAATAGAAGGTAGAGACAGTGTTAAGCTAAATTTTAAACAGGTCTTATTTGGCAGGAAAATTTTTAAAATTATATTTAGCATACAGTGAGTCTGAAATTATATGGCAAATTCCATGAGAATGAAGGTCTCTCCAGCAAACAGCAAAAACTTGGGAAAGTGGTAACATGTGATGTTTTAGCCCTATGCACACAGCAGATAGCTGGATAAATGAGCAGAATCCCTGAAGCAGAAACAAAAGAACAGGAGAATCTGAATGCAAATCTTTAGGATTAAGGGGCTGTTCATATATTCAGCAAAATATTGAGTGCCAAGCTTGTTCCAGAAATTGTACTAGGCACTGAGGCTATAAAGAAAATAAAAACTCAATCCTTACTTTCATGTACTTTACTGGTCTACTGGAGATGTTGTACAATAAACCAGAGATTATAGCACAGTGTGGAAATATTGTTAGCAGTGTGCAAAGCGTCCTAACGGAGACACCAGAATCTGCAATAAGAATCACAGGGCTAGGGGTTTGGAGGGAGGAAAAAGAGGACGGGGCAGGCTTTCCTGATTAAACAGAAGGCGCCAGAGAGTGACAATCCGGGAAAAACCAACATGGTCCAAGTCATGCAAATTTG